AGCCTGGAGCCCCGCCAGCCCCTCCTGGGCTGCACACGCCAAGCACTGAAGTGCCGGGCACCAAGTGGGGTCTCCGATCGCCAATGAGGGGCGCAGCGTTTTCCTGAGCAGTTCCCTCACCGTTCCTCGGTGGCCGCTATCAATAACTGCACCCCTCTCCCTGCTATCACAGCACTCATGATATTCAAACCTCGGCGGTGGACGGTGACAGAGACGGACTGATATTTTTAATCCCGGCAGACTATTAGGTTCATATCATGTCTGTCAAATAAATATTATGAATCAGTTCCCGTTATCTTTATGGGGCAAGTTGTCTACGTGGGGGACTGGGCGGGGAGCTTCCTCGGGCCTCTTCACCGACTCTTATGTATATGTATGTGAATAGAGGGAGATTTATGGAGCAATTGTCGATAATAAATGCCCCGATAAAGCCCATTATCTTCCTGCCTGATGGGTCGCGTGTGGAGAAGAGCCCAGTGGTGCGGAGCTGGGAGGCCTTGGTATGCAAGGTCCGGTGAGGCTGGGCTGGGAATGCAGGCTGGCGCCTGTGACAGGGGAGCACCCAGGCTCCTGTCGTCACTGTGTACATGTGGGCCACCAAGTCCTCTGTGACGAGCTGCTCCTTTATTCCTGTTGTGCAGGAGGGGAGGTTGGGGTTCAGACAGGTCTTTATGCAAGGGCTGAGATGGACTTGGTGGCAGAGATGGGCTCCTGGCTAGCATGCTGCTTTCAGAATGGTCACGTGCCCCTTCTCTCAGACCCCGGTTTTCCCGGAACCCCTGCTCTGTGGGCCCATGCATGCACTGTGAGATACCACCTTCCTCCTGGGATCCTCAGAGCTGCCCGCCCAGCCCAGGACTCCTGTGACTGCTAGCAGGTGACTTGGGTTCTGGCAGAAGTGGCTTCATGGCTCTGAAATCCTGGTCCCAGTCCTGTCCCACACACCATCCCCATTCCCCTAAGTTTGCTTTGCCCACCACGCAGTGGATGGGGCTTCCGGACTCCAGCAATGGAGCTGGGTCATCATGCTCTTTGGATGTCGCCGCTGGGACCACTTCTCCACTGCCTAGCCAGGCACAGGCAACGTCCTGAACGGGTGGTGGTGGTGGCTCCAAATGCCTCCCAGGCCTGGACCAGGCCCAGGAGGGGTCACCGTCTCCTCTCCCTTCCTGCATGCCCCTTCCCCCCACATACACAAAAGAGAAGAGCTGGGAGTCCAGGTGTGGACCAGTCCCAGACTGATGGACAGAAGGTCTTAGTCCCAGGGCCCTCTGGCTTCTCCAGGTGAGCTTAGGAAAGGCCTATGCCTCTCCGAGCCCTACCCACCACCAACCAGCTTAAGTCGTCATCTGCACCACAGGTAGAAACTGTGACCCCCAATAGGGCCCCCCTAGCCTGTGGTGCTGGGGACTGAAAAGGGGGCAGGCTGGCCTGCCCAACAGGACTGGCTTGGAAGGCGCAGGCCTCTGAGAACCCCTACCTCTGTGAGGTGTCACTGCTTAGCAGCCTGGACCACAGGTCCTCCAGGGAAGGCCCAGAGGCAGCCCAGCCTCATCTCCTCCTGGCTGCCCGCCTGCTGGCCACCAGCCTCGGGGTGTCCAGCGGCACAGACACCGGCCTTTACAAATATTTTTCTCCCAGTGATTTCAGAGACTGTTGGCAAGACTAGCGCACAGAGGCGCACAAAATGGCCCAAGGCACCTTGAAAAGCACCCTTCAGGGGGATTTAAAAAAGCCCCAAACAAAAAACAAACCCCTCTTAGATGGCAGGTTGTAAATAGGTGGATATTACTATAAAAATATTTCTGGCTGGAGAAGCACCCGGCAGGAAAGCTGGGGTGGGTGGTTTTTTCCATGGTCAGCTTGGACCTGGGTTCTCCACATGGGGTAGTCAACCATCCCAGGCGGTTTTGTGGGGGATTGTTTGTGCCAAAGAGCCCCAAGTGGAGAGGACAGTGGAAGACAGCAGCTGCAGGAATAGCAGCGGCCCTGGCACATGCCCTGCACAGCTGGTGTGTTTGCAGCCTCCAACCCTCAGTGCTTCCTGCGGGTTCCTGCCTGCCCAGGGCTCTCCTGGGCTCTCTGCCCCCTGCCCTGCGCCTCCCTACTCCACACCCCCTGGGCTGTTTGGTGCTACCACCCCAATGCTGTGTATGCTAGCCCCTGGGACCTCTGACCCCCGCCCTGGCTTGGGAAGTATCAGGCCAAGAGCCACAAGGCTCTGTCTCTATGCTGCCCCCAACCACAACTCCCAACCAGGGGGTCCTGGGGGAAGCAGGGCCTTCTCTGGGGCACCTCAGCTCCAGCCTTCACCCTGCCCTGGAACTGAATGAGGACCCCTGGGAACCATGTGTTGGCAGCAGCTCCCATGGCTCTGCAACCGTGAGGCCCGGAGGCCACGGGGGTCAGGGGTGGGCTGCTTGTGTCAGAGGAGACCCCAGCTGCTATACCAGCCTTGTAGGTCTCCGGCTGCCTTCCCACTACCGCCTGGCGTGTCGAGACCTGCAGCTGGCCGGGCAAGCTGCTGGCTTTTCGTCCCACCCTCAGGCCACAGCCACACCAGCCCTTCTGGGCCAAGTGCCTCGCCTCTGCCTCGACTGGAGGAACTCGTCCCCCCATCCCCCCAGGACTAGCCTCTGGAAAGCCCCTGGGGCCCCTGGCTGGACAGGCTTCATCTGCCGTCCTTGTCCCCAGCACTCCTGTCCGCCTGCCACCTCTACTCCACACTGTGGCTCCTGGGGACGCCTTAGTGGCTCCACTGCCACTTGCCTCCCAGCTCCTGCCGGACGGTCCTTGAGCTGCCTGTTTAGTCAGCCCTGATTCAGGGACAGGGTGGGGTAGTCCCTGCCCTACTGATGGGGAAAGCTGAGGTACAGGAGAGGAGCAGCCTGGCCGGGCCATGTGGCTGCCCAGCGGCAGAGTCTGTGTCAGTGTCCAGCCCCTGCCTCGGCCAGCTTGACCACACCCCTCCAGCACCCAGGGTTGGGCCTTGGGACAGATTCTGTGGATGTTTGTTGACTGAGTGACCATTCCTGACATTGAAAAACAGCATTCTCGGTTCTCTCCCTCACCACCCCCACCTGTCCTCATTCTGCTGCCTCCGAGACCCCCACCAGAGCCCACTGACAGTGGCAGGAAGACAGGGATGCATTGCTGGTGACTTACGGGGACCCCATGCAGCCTGCACAAGGTGGCACTCTGGTGGTCTTGGGTTCGAACTCACTGGCCCCTTGTTGGCTCTGCCAGCCTTGCTATCCTTGCAGGTCGGTGGGGCTGGCAGTGTCCTTTGCTGGAGGACTCTCATTGACACTGTGTCCAGGGAAGGAGCTGGTGTCACAGGCCCGAGACTGCTCTGTTGCAGATTGAATGTAGATGGGGAAGGCCGGAAGGACAGGTCCTATGGGCTACTGAGCGCTTGCTTGGGGCCACCTGAGTGATGGGGCAGTGTCAGTGCTCACAGAGATTCTGTTCTGCTCTGTGTCCCGTGTTGGTCCATCCCAGGCATGCCTGGAGGTGAAGGTGGCTAGGACCACACCTGACCATATGCAGCTGGAGACAAGGTCCTGGGACAGAGGCTGCCTTGTTGAATAGGACATGTGTGTAGTGGCTAAGGCAGGGGCCCAGGAGATGTCCTCCAGGGTCACTGCCTTGCCTGCAGCTGTGTTGGGGGCTCACCTACCCAGGTGCACCCCAACAGCACCCCAGCGCTGCCACGTGCCACAGGGCATCTGACCCTCTGGACAGTCCGCAGCAGTCCTGGGACCTGAGATGCGGGAAGTTTCTGTTACTGTGGGCCTCCAAGGCCGTCACAAGGTAGGGAAGTGGCAGGTCACCCAGGCAGAACGACCCTCTCTGGAGCCAGGGACCTGCCATTTCTGGACAGTGAGCGCCCCTTTATCTCGCCCTCTCCCGGGCCCACCACGTGCATCCCGTGTGACTATGGTGCGCCCCTGAGGCAGTTCCTCCCTGCAGCGCTGGGGCGTAGGGCAGGAGAGGGCGGGCTGCAGGATCCCGGGGAGGCGGGGCTTGGCTCTGCGCAGGTAGCTCACACCCAAACCCGAATTCCAGCCGCAGGAGACTGCGGGCGGTGAAGGCAGCGCATCCCAGGCAGCAGTGCTTCCTTTCGTTTTTTTAAACAAATCATTAATTTAAAAGTGAGGGCAGAGAACGACCCAAGGTGTAAAAATAGCGCCGGGCCACAAAGTCAATGTCCAACTCGGACCACAGCAGTAGAGCCCGGGCCTGGCTGGGTTCTGAAGAAGAGGTCCTCTGTGCGCCCCTTCACTGTGGCCCGAGGGCTGAAACCCGTGGGCGTGAAAGCAGGAGGCCGGCGAGGGAGGGCGTCCCCCGCAGAGCAGGGGTTCCTAGCCTGCAACGTCCAGGCGCCTCGCCTTCCCGGGCCTCAGTTTCCCCACGTGCGCGCCAGGCGGGTACGCTGCCTATGTAGGACCGGGGCTCGGGCAGGCGTTGTGGGGCCGGGCCGGGGTCCCCGCGCGCCCACGACCGGGCTCTTTGTGCGGCCGCCGTAGACAATAGCCCGGCCCGGGCTCCGGGCCCCTCTCCTTCTCCTCCTCCTCCTTCTTCTCGTCCTCCTCCTCCTCGCCGTCGCCGCCTCCGGGCCGCAGGATTTTGGCAGCTAGGGAGGGTTCTGGCCAGGTCCGCCCGCCTCCCCCGTGCCGCGCCTGCCCCCCGCCCTGCTCGGACACCCCCAGCTGAGCACTCGCAAGTTTGCGGGGAGCTCACAACTCGGCGCGGGGCGCGGGCGCGGGCTGCGGGGGCGCGCACCGGCGGGCGGGCGGGGCGAGCGCGGCGGCGGCGCTGCGCAGAGTCCGCGCCCGTCGCGGGCCCCCCGCCGCCCCCCCGCTGCAGGCCGGGCTGGAGCGGGGCGCGGGCGCGTGGCGGCGGCGGCGGGGGCGCGGGCGCGGGCGCGCGCGCGGAGGCGCGCAGTACAAGTAGTTTACATTGTTGGGCGACTTTTGCAACAACTCGCCGCGCCGCGGCCTCCGCGCGCCGCCGCCGCCGCTCGCCGCCGCCGGCTCCCCGCCGCCCGGGCCCCGGCCGGCCGCGCCGGGGGCCGCCGCCCGCTGCCCGCCGCTCCGCCGCCGGCCGGGCATGAGTTAGTGGGCGACATGGACACCAAACACTTCCTGCCGCTTGGTGAGTGCCGGCTGGGCCGGGCGGCGATAGGGCCGGGCGGGGACGGGTGGGGACCGGACTGGGACCGGAGGCGTGCGCGGGCGGCGAGCAGGGGGCGTCCCGGCTGCCCCGCACCCCGCGGCCTGCGCGAGAGTTCGGGCACCGGCCCGGAGTGCCGTGGGCGGCGGGCAACTTTTCCCGGGCCCGGCGGGCAGGGAGGGGGCGAGGGCGCGGGTGGTGGTGGCGAGCGCGGGTGGCGCGGGCTCAGGGCGCCGAGGGGATCCCCTCACTCCTCGATCTTCGTCCCGGGCCGCCCGGGAGCTGGGCCCAGCTCGAGCAGCAACTTCTGCTCCCGCGCGCTCGCGGCTCCAGGCCTCCCTGGCACCGGGACGGTCGCGCGCTGGGCCGAGTGGCCTCCGCTCTGCGCCGCCCCCGCCGGTGCTGCTTCCAGCAGGCCCCGCTGGCCGTGGGGTGCGTCCAGGAGGAAGCAGGCTGCTGCCACCCCGTTTCTCCTCGGCAGCCTGAGCCCGGTGGGCATGGACTCCCCCTGGGGCCCTTTGCACCCGCACACCAGACCCAGGACTGGCCCCTCTCTCAGGCACCCAGGCAGTCCTGGCGTGGGGAGACAGCAGGGAGTGGAGGGTCAGCTTTCCTATTCCGCTGCCCAGCCGACTGGTGCCCTCAGCCCCCGACTGCCTGCCAACTTTCAGGGCTAGCCCCAGTTCTGAGCGGTGGCCATGGCCAGGAGCCCCCTCCTCCTGCTGTCTCCCTGGGGCTGGGGAGCCCAGAGAAGCAGGGAGGAGGACTTATAAATGAGCTCCGGGAAGGATATTAATTTGGTGGTGGGGACGGCAGCCAGGCTGTCAGCCTGGTGAAGGATTTGTGCAGGATGAAAATTAAGAGAGCTGATTATGGACCAAGCCCAGGACCATCACTTCTTCTGCCTGGCCCCCAACTCCTGAGACCTGACGTGCAGTTTGACTGCCCTGGGGGCACTCAGAGCCCAGCATAGCTGTGGGGGACATGAGGAAGATCGGGAGTCCCCCCGCGGAGATTAAGGGAGAGTGTCTCAGCATGCCTGCTGCAGGGCGACTTGATGGGAGACCCTAAGTTTACCAGCTCTGAGACTCACTCTCGGCCCTTTGTGGGACCAGGACATGCAGCCTTCAGGGTGAGCACTCATGCCCATTTTGCAGATGAGAACAGCCAGGAGAAACCGAATAGAGACCCTGCAGTGGTGGGTGTGGGTTTGAACTCCAGCCCATGGGTGCCAAATTTTCTGTGACTTCCAACTGTGGGGGCTCCCTGTGGGATGACACCTCCTCTTCCCCCACCAATGCCTTGTCCCATGTGCACACAGAGTCGGGCCTGGGGACTCCTTCTGGACCAGGAGTGTGAGGCTCAGATCCTGGGTGCACTCCGACCGGGTCTTGGGGCCCTGACAGGTCCTAGTCCGTAACTCGCCAAGAATGACAGGGCTGATCCTAAGAGCTGGCCCGTGTAAGCAGGACTAGGGTTGAAGGTGCCCCGCTGCAAAGTGGCTCTGTGGGAGTTCCCAGGTTGCCTGAACTCTCTCCGATGATGGGCCCCGTGACAAAGGGGCTGTGTTGATGGTGCGGCTGGTGGCTCACTGGACCTAGCCGCTGGCCTCCCAGGCAGCCCCCGGACTGAGTGAGGAGTCCTGGGCTCTGATTACATTTTTATTTTTTCCTAAGCTTGTGACTGACTCTGAAGTCCAGGCAGTTGAAGGTCCATTTAAGCAGCTACTTCCCTAAGCTCTTTTGTCAACACAGCCTAATCCCTCGTGGGGGGTGGGTGTCAGAGGGCCTGGCAGTGTCCAGGGCCCGGACAGCCCGTCTGGGTCAGATCTGGGACTGGCCGCATGGCAGGCCCATCTCTCCCTGGGCCGCCTGGCTACTTTCAAGGTCTGGTGGTAGGAGGAGAGGGCCTGCTGCTCCCAGTGTTCACTCCTGCGGGGCTCAGTGGCTGGGCAGCCAGCCCCTCATCTCCCACCGGCCGCCCGTGGGGCCGATGGTATGGGACAGATGGGGAAAGGAAGGGAGGTGGGGAATTTGCTCAAGGCAGGCCCTGTTTCCTGCCCCTGCTGCCCAGGGCTGGCCTTGCTCCATGCCCACTGGGGAGGAGGCATGGACAGTGGGACCCAAAGGCTGAACCTGTACGGTCCAAAGGTCCTAGGCCACGTCGGACCCTCTCTGCTGCTGCTGACCCATTAGGAGCAAAGCTACACGGGGCCTCTAAGCCCTTTCTGGTGCATTGTCGGGGACCTGGGTGAGCTTGGAACCTGGAGAGGGGCTTCTGGTAACATCAGAGCCCGTGGGACCCAAAATAGAGCACATTCCGGGGCCTCCCGAAATAACAGGGTCACGTGACTTGGAGGGCTGGGCTGCAAGTCCAGCTTGGGTCTGACGAGGCAGTTCGTGGCTAGGCCCAGACACTGCCGACGGGGGCGTTTGTTTTGGTGAACTCTGTGCGAGGGGGCCTCTGTTTGTGGACCGGGAAGTGTGAGGGCGAGGAAAATGGCCCCCAGGTGGCAGCCAGTCATAGTCGTGGCTTTGGCCGTGGCTTTGCCGAGCTGCTTGCTCACCTGTGGCCCCTGCCCACCTGGGTTTCCCTGGATGGGCCTTAGCAGGTGGGAAGCCTCGAATACAGCCCAGGCTTGCGTGGCTTGGTCATTGCTGTGTGGGGCATTGGCTCTTCCAGCTGTGCCTGCCCTTCAGGGCCACGGTGGGTCTGCCACCTTCTTTAGGAGGCCGATTGCCCTCCAGCCCTACCTGGCAGCCCGTCCATCACTGTGGGAGAGGTTTGCAGTTGGTGTTCTACATTTTGTTTTGGAAGAGGGTGCTTGGAGGCTCGTGGAATTATCTTGTGGGCCCTCAGGCCTGTGCCCCTTCTCCCGGTGATGGCTGTGCACCCATGGGGTCCAGAGGGCATGGAACACAGGTCAGCCACCGGGGAGATGATGCAGGGATGGGGTAAAAGACTCCCAGGCTCTTCCCCCTACCAGCTGGGGCTGCCTGGGCCTGTATCCATGGGCGAGATGGGGCTTGCCACTGTTGGAGAGTCATGGTCAGGGGCTTGAGGGTCAGCAAGGCCCAGTCCTGGGAGTAGAAGCCCCAGGCCTGGCCCTGCTGTCAGCTTGCTGCAGGGCAGGGGCCTCCTTGGCTCGGGACCAGAACAAGCCAAGACCTGCCTTCCTTCCCTGCTCTGCCGGGCTGGTGTTTGTGGGCCTGGGCCTGGAGGCGTCACTTTGGCTGGCCCAGCTCCTTCAGAAGGGGCTGTGTTCCAGGCCAGAGGTGGGGCAGGGGTCCAGGCCCTCAAGAGTCTATTGTCTGGACTGTGGCTGGTGCAGGCTGGTGTCCATGCCAGATCTTTTGGGCTTTTGAGAGGGTGCTAGGGTGCTGGGAAAAGGTAGGGGAGAGGGCCCCATCTGCCCACCTGCTTGTCTGTGGCATTCCTATCTTAGGAGGTGCAGTTCCAGGCTCCCCTGTTCCCTTGGAATGATCACAACTTTCCCAGTGGCTGCAGGGGGGACTGAAGGACAGGCGGGGATGAAGGGGTGCCTTGGTGGTCTCATCCGGGTAATGGACGTGCTCCTAGCTCCTCTGGGGCTGGATGGGCAGACTGGTCAGTCAGTCAGTGGCCAGCTGGGAACTTCTCCAGAGTTCGATGTCTTCCTGGGGCGTGTCACTCTTTCTAAGGGTGAGGTCAGGGTCAGGTGGGTCCCAGCCTCCAAGGTCAGACCAGATGGGCAGAGGATGGCCAGTACCCTGAGTGTGAGCAGATCCCAGATAGATGCGGCCCTGGCCTGGCCCAGCCCTGCTGCTCCCTGGACCCTGGGAGCTGGGTGGGCGGGGGCCAGTGTATTTGCACACCCACCCAAGCCTGTGCATGTGTGAGATGCTCTGAGCAGTTGTGCCCCAGCGCCTCACAGACAGGGAAATTGCACCCTAGAGTTACAAAGCAATTGTCTAGCTCAGCAGCTGAACGAGCGTGAAATGGAGCAGAAAGCAGCTAAATAAAATCGGCCCGGCTGTGTCGGGGAGTGAGGGGTACACACGTGTGCACCGGGCCTGGTGTGCTTGCAGACGCACACGCACACATGCGCCCACATGCCTCTCACCGGGCCCTGCCAGCCAGCCCTCCTGGTACTGGCCTGCAGCCATGTCCCTGTGCAGGGGGCCAGGGAGGGGCAGCCTCCAGGGCTCTGGGTGGCTCTGGGATGCCAGTGGGTGCAACTTGTCCAGGACTTGCCTGCCCCAAAACGATACAGCAGGCTTGTGCGGTGACGCCTGCTTTCCAGGGGCTGGAAAGTCTTCCCAGGGACAGGGCGGCTAGGACACAGCCCAGGCGGCTCCCTCGGCCTCTGCTGTCCAGCATCTGGTGTCTGGAGATCTCAGCGCTGGTTCCCAGGGCATCCCGACCCTGCTGTGTCTGTGTGGATGGGACTCTGTCCCTCAGATTCTCCTGCCCCCTTCCAGTTGACATTTCTGCCAGTAAGAGCCCTGCCTGTCCTGGGTCCCTGGAACCCCGAGGGGGGTTTCTTGTCCTGTGTGGCCACTGATAGGGGCTGAGGTCTCACAGTGATGACTCTGACCCCAACAGTGGGAACAGAGACCCTTCGGCACTGCTCCAGGGTGCTTTCCAAGCCTGGCCTCTCAGCTGTAGGTTGAAGGAGCAGCCGGGGACAACACAGACCCGTGGCCTGGTGACTGTCTGCTGGGACAGGCGTCTGGCAGCAAGTCCAGAGGGACCCAGGGAATGGATCTGAGTGATTGGCAGCTTCAGGGCTATGCCGGGGCAAGGCAAGGACCTGGTCACCTCTGCCCCCTTCCTCACGCATGCACACATGCACATATACACACACACGTGTGCCCTGCAAGGCCAGATGGAGCGTGGCAACCCTTCCCGGGATCCTTATGTGGCTGAGGGCACCCATGCCTATGCTGGTGGCCTGGTCCTGGGTCCTGGGCCCTGGGCAGGGTGGGAGGGGAGTGCTGCAG